TGTGTGTGTGTGTATTTTTTTAAGAGAGATTTTTTGCTAGAGGGCATGTGTGCTTGCTGAAGAGACAGAGAGAGAGCTAGAGAGAGAGAAAGTGAGAAATCCCCTCCAGGAGGAATGGCCACAGTGCAATCCCTCTTCTCTTCCATTCTCCTACTGGGATGTTGGGCACAAAATGTACACACGCCCGGTGTGAATTTTAAGGAGCCAGGTCTGGGACTTGAACCATAGTTGACTACGTGGGAGTCCAGCAACGTAACTATTATTGTTGTTCCCATCCAGGGGACCTCTTTACATCTGAAATAACAAGCCATTTATCTAACATAACAAATTAAAAATTGAGCTATTCAGGGGGTTAACCATGACACAATGATGCTATCAAGAACATAGCCATTAGACCAACAGATGGAGTAGAGATTACATTGCTGGACTCCCACATCAACTGAGGTTCGAAGCCCAGACTTAGTGGCTTGAAAATCATGCTGGGCATGTGTGCATGTAAGCCCAAGATCCTGGGAAGAGAGTGAAGTAGAAGGGATTGTGGTGTGGTCATTTCTGCTGGTCATCGAGGGGTGACTTCTCACTTTCCCTCTCACTGTCTCTCTCTCTCTGCTGAGTGCACACACCCTAAGGTAAAAATCTCTTAAAAAAGAAAAAAGAAAAGAAAAAGAACTCAGGCACTTCGTATCTTTTCCTCTGCCAGAACTGGTCTGCTTTTATTCTGCCAAGATCAGTCTATCTGGGCCTTTTTCTCAGAGCTCCAATTGCTCCAGATTCTGTGAATCACCACATCTGAAGTGGAAAAAAGGTGTCATAATTGAAATGCTTATCTCGTCATAATTGAAATGCTGATTTCGAAGTTTTGGACCACCCTGGTAGTATGCATTCCAGTTACAAGATTCCATGCAACCCCACTAAGGGGAGGAATTTTGGGGGAGGCCAAAGTATTCATTTCCAACCCTCCTGACTCTTATAATGTAGCCCTGTGAGGATGTAGATTTATGACAGTGTCCTCAGGTGGCCTATACAGGTGTCCTCTGTCTCCTACACTTCATGAGACAGTGGACATGTCTCATGACATGTCCTAACTAACCTAGAAGCTAGATTCACCTGTGCACCAAATCTAGAATTCATCAAATGCTTGTTCGGCTTTCATCTCAGAATTCCTCACTGTCTTAGTTTTTTGTTTGTTTGTTTGTTTGTTTGTTTTTACTTTTTATAAATTCTCTACTTTCTTGGAGCTCATCACACCCTAAGAAGATGTTTTTTTCTTTTCTAGAAATTTTAGTTTTTTCCAGTCAATGTATCTAGTCCTCCAGGCTACAGAAACAGAAGTTGGATGATTTGTTTCTGAATTGCATTAAATAGACCAGCTCTGTGTCCTGCTGGTTAAGGCACCCAGATGCCATGTGGTTTGAGTCCCAGACCCAGTGGCTTAAAAAACATGCTGAGTGTGTGTACGCATACTCAAAACCACAAAAGGAGGAAAGGAGAAGGGTTTGCAACCTGACCATTCCCCATGCGTGAATGCTTTCCCCTCTCCCTCTCTCTGTCTGTCCCTCTCTGAAGCATAGGTACCATCAGACAAAATTTAAAAAACAAACAAGCAAAATAAAACGCATTGTGTTTCCTCAATTTTGCCTGAAGGTTTGTTGGAGAACGAACCCTTGCAAGGAAGAGATGAAGATGCAGTAGCCAGCGCTGACTTCTCTAGCATGCTCTCTGAGGAGGAAAAAGAAGAGTTAAAGGCAGAATTAGTTCAGGTATGTTAATTGTCTTATTGTTGCTTATTTCTATCTCTGGATCTTGAGAGTTATTCTTAGTTTGATATAACTCCCATATTGCCATTGTGTTGTCTTCATTTAGTCAAATTTAATAAATACATTCCAGGTGATTTTTTCCCAAGGTATTTTTGTATAGCTAATTGTTCACCACCTTTTGGTTACAGTGGTAAAAATAATTCTTTATTGATTAAGTAATAATAATAATTAGCTAAAAATGAGTATTTCTTATTCTTCTTAGTATCAAGCTACTATGGGAATAGCAAATGCCTTAAAAACCTAAAGTTACTCATTCAAAAGCGTCGTAGAGGTGCAAGCTCCTTTTTAAGAGCAGTTCTGGTCTTCGGTTCGCAACTTAGTTCAAGAAATACTTAGAGATGTTTGTTTTTGTTCTGTTTTATTTTGTTTTAATGAAGAAGTTAATCAAAGAAGCAACTGAGTTTACCCTTTTGCAGAAGAATAAAGCTCTGGGGAGGAAGCGGAAAGAAAAGCTATGATGAATTGAGGCCTAATTAGGTCTTCTGCTGTTGCTGTGAAGCTCTGGGCCAAGAGGGGAGGAGGATGCTGGGCTCCTATGACTACAACTCTTTGTTTAAGCCTTTGGTTTGCTGTACCTGCTCACCCTGAGATTCTTTGCTGAAAAGACTTTACTTTGTAGGAGGACAGGGCTAGAGAAAGGCTGCTCAAGTTGAGTGAAACAGCAGGACACAAGGAACAGAGGCCAGCAGTCCTTCCTCATTCTGCGTCCCTGGCTCACAGGCCAGGAAGCTCCTGTTTCCACTAGAAGCAAGGCTTTGCTTTCCTGCGTTGGCCTGTCCACGGGCTGAGGACTCAGCTTTGAGCTCCACCATATCTTCTGCCTGCTTTGATTCTTCAAGTCCTGATTGTGTTTATGACACACGGCTCATAATAATATTAAAGACGTTCAGGGCTAGCCCCATTGCCCAGTGGTTAAGGTAGTCAGATCCCACATCTAATCATGTGGTTCAAACCCCAGCCCTGGCAGCTTCAAAAACATAGTAGGTGTGTGTGCCTTCATGTGAGTGCCCAAAATTTC